GATCTGCCCACTTGCAAAATCCCATGTGGAATCCAAACAAATTAACAACATCAATCTTACAATGTATTTAAAATCCCGTACAGGCCGATATCGTTCCGGTCCCAAGGCTCATGAAATGAAGTGGGAAACCGGGTGGGCATCTGGCTTAATGCCTTTGCTAAATTAATATGTAAATCACAATGAAATGCTTTGTGTATAAGCAATTACTGGGTTTTAGATCGCATCACAGCCATTTACAGGACCATACTTAAAAGTGCTTTGTGCAACTTTTCTGGTGGAGAGTCTGCCTTCTTGGCTTCATGGAATTGTTATTGCTTTGCCTGGAATGTTCCATGTTATCACATTAAACATACATCTAATATGTGTTTATTACGGGTGTTTCTATTGCTCAAAAACACAATAATTGTTTCTGTGAATAAGGGCAACTCTCCACAGATCTGAACTATAATGTAGTGTAGTGCTGTAACCTGCTTGTCTCCCTCTTGATAGATAGGTTTAATCTATACTGTGGAACATTCTAGACAAAGCAAAAACATTTCCATGGAGACAAGCAGGTGGCAGTAGCCAGGCTGGTGCCACCTAGTGCATCCGCTCAATTTCATTTCTCTCCAGGAACTATATCAGGAATCAGAATACACTAGATGGTTCACAAAAACCCCGGAAGTGCGAGTTCAGGCATCAGAGAAGAGCGATACATTCTGTGTCAGTAATGATTCCCAAGATCGAGGATTTAAAGCAGGAACAAAGAGAGTGTTTGGTGAATTTTATCAAGGGGAAAAATGTTATTTCCCTTCTTCCTATGGGATTTGGGAAGAGCTTAATATACCAGTTAGCCCCGTTAGTGGCACATTACATACATCACAACCAAATAGCAGCAATTGGTTAAATGAAAAAAAGTACCCACCTACAGTCAAGCGAATGTAATCTAATGCTGCGAGGTCAGATGGAAACCAAGCTAAGGTGGCGGACCCTTCACTAGAAATGTTACATAGTGCACCTTTAATTCAGAGTGGAGGCAGCCAAAATGGACAGTTAAAATGTAGATTTTACAGTAATTGAAGGGGTCTAGTTAGATTTGTGAAACTGTCTATTTCTTAAACAATATAATTAATAGGAAAAATTGGCTCTTGTCTTCATCTGGCAGTTTGACATAAACGCTTACCAGACCCATAGAAATATATGTTGCCTCGCTAAAAATGTTCTTAGAATGAGAAAGCATCGTGGTGGTATATTTTGTTCTAAGCGATATGGTTGCACAATTTGTCTGACTCACTTCGAACTATTTCTAGACATACCCCCCATCTTATGTGTTACCAAACAAGCAGTCTAGTTAGTTCTTCTCTCTGTGGATGTGCTCTAGTGCGTTCAACATCCGAGTTTATTTACTGTCCGGACCTCGCACCAAATCGTAATGAGATTCCTTCCTAAAGAATCGGAGCGGTCCCTGGAGGCTACTGATAAACCACACTGCTGGGTAGATGGGTCAGTCACGGCCAGACAAGAAATAGTGTCCTGGGCGCGTTGATATTAGTGGTCTGGAGTTTGTTGGCTGTAAATGCTGTATGCCTCTGCTGGTGCGCTTGGTTCCCCTTCGGTTCACTTTAAGGCATGTAAGGGGCTCTTTCTCCCCATTTGGCAGGCCCCGAAATTGTTTCTGTCAGCGTAGATAAACACACCCCTGGGTTTGTCCATCTCCGTCACACCAGCTTCTCCGCACACGCGCATGCTAACTCTCCTCCTCCTTCTCCAATATAGATCATGCTGTAATCAACCACTGGGGACTGGCTCTCACTCCTCTCTTGTTTTGAAAGCGTGTTTACTGGCTTCACGTTCTATTAATATTCAGGGTATCAAAAGGTTCCTCCAGAATGCAGTGGGATCTGGTTTATTTATGGGCTGAGAGATGTGCAATTGGGGAGGTTTAACACAGGACTGCACTGGTGAGTTCTGGTTTTTAAGGGTTCAGTTTTAAGCTTCATTTCTGACAGGTTATAACCATCTTTTGTAATACTGTTAGCTTCTTGTTTTATTTTTTAGACAAATTTCTTTTGTTATTATTATTATTATTATTAATGTGGAATTTCTTGTTTTATTGTAACTTCCTCTTGCGTTGCCTGCTGGTGTAGTACTTCAGAAAGTTAAGGTTAGCTGTGTATAGAATTCACATAGGACTTGTAGTGGTAGTTGCAGTTTTTTTATTTACTTTCAAGGGTTAGGTTCTTCGTAAAGTTCTACTTGATCAAAAATAGGTTGACCAGATTTTCTAAATGAAAAACATGTACACACCCGGGTTGGAATGTTTGGTACAGATATAACTGTGCAAAGAGTAAATATCACAATATCATAATATCATAATCTGTGTCAATGCCACAGAGTACAGAACAACTCAAATCTGCCATCTCAGACCACTGTAAAAGAGAGAACCACATTATGGACTGGGATGGAGCAAACATCTTTGGGACAGAGGATAACAAACACCACTGTTGGGTTAAAGAGGCAATCAAAAGATGGAAAAGTGCCCACAGGACTATAAACCAGGACGAGGGGGCTTTTTTACTCTCACACATCTGGGATACTGTCATGAGGAAGTCGGACTGCAAATGGCACTGTCATCCTATCTCCAACAGTAGGAAGACGGCGCCAAACTTGCTTAAATCAGCTGACCGACATGTTACAGAAACTTCACATGACCACTCTGAGGAAGACCATGAGTGAGCAGTCGAAACTGTCAGGTATGAAAACAAACCTTCTTTCTTGGTCTGAAAAAAGAACATATGATTTAGATCATATTGGTCAAAATATGGACACCTAGGACATTTCTTGTATAAAACTGGGACAACTTAATGGCTTTGGATAAATCTGCTGGGACAGGGGACACAGGGCTCAAAACTGGGATTGTCCCAGGTAAATAGGGACTGGTTACCCTAATCAAAAATGTTAACTCAACCAATATTTTATTTTCTACACATTTTTCAGCCTAAATATTTTAAAGCCATTCATGAAAACTGCAGCAGTAGACCCACTGACGCCCCCAGCCTGTCCATCTCCTCCTGTCCATTGTCTATCTATATTCTGGGCAGTACTATTTTCCCTTATGTATCCATCACAAAGCTGATCTGGTCAACAAACTTCTGCCTATAGTTTTTTTTTTTTTTTGCAAACTTTTGAACTGCTTGTTTATGCTTAATGCAGTTTCATACTTGTTGGTAAAGTCCTTTTTAGCACTTTCATCTGTGTCAATGGTCCTCACGATGTACTGTAGGGACTATGGGGCGTGCTGCCTGCTGATAAAAGACTGGACTTTTCTGATGATAAACCGCTCCAGACATCAGTGGCGCACATTTGGGGAGATGAAGACGAGAAAGCACCGAAGAAAATACTGATGACAACTGAATGTGGCAGTGATACGGATTACATGAGGGATGGAGAATCTCCCAACTGAAAATATCCTCCAGTTCCATCATTTTCAGGCCAAATTGATTTCCTCTGAACAACTATATCATCGAGTGCCATGGTTTGTTGCCGTAAAGTATTGTGTGAAACTGCTTCCTCTGATACAGTTCGATGGCAGCGATAATTTTGTTTTATTTGTTTTATTTTTTTTTTCAATGTTTGTTTGGAGAATTTCTTTACACCGTGATGTGATTTATTCTGACAGTTTTGTTCCCTGTTGATTTGATATAATGAGACGAGGTGCCGCTTCTGCTGTTTGTTCATGCGTTTTGCCTTTATCCCACATGAATCCTGAAAAAGAAGAGCTAACAATAAAAGCACTGACGCACATTAATGCCTCTATATGGGTCGTACCTGAGCGCAACAATTTAAAGAGGGTTTGCGTTAAGAATAATGACTATGGCTTTAGTTTAAATCATAAATATTTCAGAAGAGCTGCATTAGTTTTCACATCCATTGACAAAAGCCTGTATGGTTGTGCTTGTGGCATTTCCATCTGAATATTCTGCTTCATGCTACACACTTGGAGAGTGAAGAGAGGGACCATGCAGGCGTATAGATAAATAATGGATGCTGCATAGTGGAGTGCCCCATTTTATCATACATCATCCATACACCCTCACAATTAACAGGATGTGTAAAAGCAGATTTTTCTGTACTTTTGCGTCTAAAGATTATTAGGTAACACAGACTTAAAAAAAATTATGAATACTTAATTCATAATCAAATACAGATTTAGGCTGAGTAACTGCTTATTTAATCTACCAACCATAGACTGTATAAATTGGACATAGCTAACACGCTGGCCACCGCATTCCAAATAAGATGTGAACATGGGGGCGCTGCCAGCTCCATCGACTCCCCTGTCACCCCTCTCTTTGCAACTGCTACAGTGATGTTTGTCATTTTGGTCTTAAAATGTGCATATTAACCGCTCTACAAACTTCAATAACACAATGTTTTCATTTAGAAAAACTATGCATTTCTATCACCAAGATTATCTTTCTTGGTGTTATTGTGCAGCCCAAATCAAGAGCCTCCAAATGTAAAACAAGCAAGCAAAGGTGTTTCCATAGTCCATTTCTTCTTCTCATTATCAATGCACTATTAGATGAAACTGCAAATCATTTTCTGTTGTTAAGTTAACCTTATCATATGCTTTACGTAGGGTTACGAGAAATCACTCCAGTCTGAAACACCAGAAATCCCATTAAACTTTTTCTTTCAATAAAACATACCATACGTCATTAGTACATCTATCTTTTAAATGCAAAGAACGTCTGTCTGTGTCTCCTGCTGTTTATTTTTTGTTTGTTTGTTTGTTTGTTTGTCTGTTCCACGCATAACTCTCAAACCACTCGTCCAACTGATATCAAATTCGGAGGGTTTCATCCTAATGGTATGGATGTGTGCAGTGCCAAGTTTCATGTTGTTAGGGTAAAAAATGCCAAAGATCTGGTAAAAATGAGTGATATATTTCAAGTATAAACAACTTTTGACACCACAGGTCACATGACATCATTGGTCATATTACATCACAGGTCACATGACACCACATGGAAGTGCTCAACATGTTCTGAAGTTATCGCTGGCTACACTTGGAATCTGTAAGTCTTCTGCAGGCTATACTTCGTAGTTAGACACTCATCCATTAGGTAATGATCGCTATGGGTCGCACATCATTTAAATAAGCATGTTTTCTCATCAGAACTGGTCAGGAGCTAAACCCTTTACAACCCCCATCATTTACATAGCGTGCAAATTAACACTTGTTTGTAGCAGCTGCCTAAAGCACCATTGATACAGTTGTGGACAGAGCATGCAGAGGGAGAGACATTTATTTTCTTGGAGTGAATTTGAAAAGATGAAAGTGTTGCTTGTTGTCATGACGCTGTAGCTTGAACTAGCTTTTGTTTGTGTCCTTTCGTCCTCATTCATACTTGGTCTCAGAAAGGGTTCGAATATGCTGTGATCTCCTTGACACATGCACACAGCGTTGAACGGAGGTGCCCCAGATGAGCCTGCACCAGCGAATGACTTCTCTTTAGGGGCTAAGTGGGCTGGGGGTAATTGCATAGGTGGATAGGAGCGTAAAGGGGTTCTTATGAAAGCAAATGATAGCTGTTTTCTGGAGTGCCGGCTGTTTGATGTTGTTGTGGTGTTTGTCTCCGGGGCGATAGCTGCCTGTACATTTCAGTTGCCGCGGTGATTCAGAGCGGCAGACACGAGGCGCATTTGGCCCAGATGAGAGTGAATGAGAGTGAATATTATGTCCCAAGGCAGGTTGTCAGAGCGTGGAGCACTTCTGGAATGTTTGTCACCTTTTCTTCCAGTCCCTCAATGCTATGTCCTATTGTTTTGCAGACAGCATATTTCTACTGCCATTCTACCAGTATATAAACAGTCTGAGCCATTTAACATTGACCTTACATGACCCTGGATCATTCATTTGATTGATTTTAAGGCCCATATTATGCCATTTTCTGGTTTATTTTATAATGTTGTTTTCTCATTAAAAACATACATGGTGTTTTTAATGAATAACACACAAACCCTGCATATTATATTCTGAGTCCTGTTCCACCTTGTGATGTCATGTGCTAATATAGGAAGTGCTCCACTGTGTTTTTAAACTCCATACAACTTCACTGGAATCATTTGGATAATTTCAACCCTGGATTTGCCCATCTCTATGGATCTTAAGGTAAAAGGTAGCTATTAACTTGAAAACTACCATTACATGACATCACAAGGTGGAACAGAGCATTTTGAGCTTCGGAGAAGTAGACAGATAATAATCTATTCATGTAATAATAAAGGATTACTCATACATGCGTGAATGAAACAAAATACAATTCCAGGTATGTTCTAAGGAGGTAACAACATTCTGAAATGGTTTAAAACTCACAAGAGTCAATTTTGCCTGTTATAGGACCTTTGAAGATGCACTATGGAACTTTTCTGGTGAAAGGTCTTCCACCTGCTTGTCTCCATGAAGATGGTATTGCTTTAATGTTCCAGTATATCAATAAACTTGTCGATATCCATGGAGCCAAGCAGGTATCAGGTAGTGGACTAACAACCCAAGAAGTTAACTTTCTCCAGATAACACCTTTACATCAATATAAAGTTAGGAACAATAAAAAATAAATAAATACATAAATAAAAATGTTTTCAGGACAGGTGTTAACCCCAAAGCAATTTCTAGCACACACCTCCACTGGTGCCAACAGCCAGATTTACACTGTTTTGGAGATTATAACAAGAGGAAATCACCTGATGTTAACACCTCTACATGAATGAACAAGAGACGAGGTATGTGATAGCAAACATCACATCATTAGAGCTATGAAGACTTCTTAGAAAACCTCTTAATCTTTTCTTCTTTCTGGACATGCTCAGTAGAGCCTGGGCATAGGAGACCACATGACACCACAGTCACAAGTAATTATCGTTTTGGTTCATCTAGTCATCACAATTTGTCAACAACAAGCTATACTCTCATGCTTACCCTACCTAGACAGATACGACCAACCAGGTATGTTAGATGAGAATCATGGTGAAACAACTGCCTGACAGTTGTCAAGGTGCAAAGTCAGAGTGAGAAAAGGGACTTAGGGCGGGGTTGACAGCTCAAACTCAAACATATTCTAAAAATAGGCTACAGGGTATTTGAGGCAGTATGGAATAATAGTGTAATTGCTGCTCACATTGATTATATTGTAGGATCAAATTTTGACCACAGGTAATTTCATTTCCAGTTTAGTCATGATTTTGACCTTTTTGTAGACCTGTTTTAGTTCCTCATTAACATTTTTATAGAAATCAAATATCACATTCTTATCACATTTTCCTAATAGTTATTGCATAAGGCAGCTGTCTGACAAAGGGCCAATAATGCACTGTTTCTTGATTAGAAGTGGATCCATTTCCAAGGCACACCACAACAAATGGATGAGTACAAAACATGCTTTGAATGCTGCCTATTTCCAAATGGACAAACACTCGGGCTTTTCACAGGGATTGGAGTGAGCTGAAGATATCGACTGGTGACTGGAGATTGGAGGGACCTAGGGGGGCACTTCTAATCCAGGTTGACCCACTCTTATCACGTACGCCAAGGTCAAGAATCTAATGAGGATGGGACGCCATTAAAGCAATTAGTCAAGACTGGGTTCTTTCTGGGGTGCACCGCTGAGACGAGCGCCCAGGGAGAGGTGAGGAGAGGGGAGGAAGGGAGAGGGGAGAGGGGGACCAATACAGTAGACACACATGCAATGGTGCTGTCTATTCTGCTCTCAGCACCACCCTCTGATCCTCTCTCTCTGTCTCTCACTCTCTCCCTCTCTCACGCTCTCCCCCCTCTCTTTTTCTCTCTCTCCCTCTCTCTCTCTCTCTCACAAGGGTGGTTCAGAGCCCTCAGTGCTACAACAGTGACACTCGGTGGTGGACACAATACTTGACAACAAACAAACAAACAAACAGAATTTTACATTTTGGCAACATTTTTCAGAGGTAGATATTGTATTGTTTACTTGATCTTATAAACACTGTTACTAAAGCATTATAAGTTATTTATAACCTATTTTGGATATATAAATGAAATTGTGACATTTTTAAACATAGTACTTCATTATAGATAGAGAGTAGTGGTAGAAAGGGGAAAACAAGATTGGTAGTCATTTGATATAAACTCTGTCAAACTTTGATATCTGCACTGAAAGATTACAAAACCTACTTGCTCCTACATTATAACAAGCCATGTTATAATGTTGTTATCTTAAAAACATGCCCAGAATTTTGTTTTGTTTCATTCACACACATAAATCTTTATTATTAGTCTGTCTACATCTCCAAAGCTCAAAATGCTCTGTTTGTAATGTAATGCAGTGCTAATTTTCAAATTAACAGCTACCATATCCCTTTTTAGTAGCTTAGAGGTTGGAAATTATTCATTAATAATAATAATTCATATTATTATTCAACTAGGGTTGAAATCATCCTAATGATTTGAGTGCAGGTATACGGAGTTTAACTTCCAAAATTACCACTTTACATTACAAGGTGGAGGAGTGTTTTCTATACGAGAGAAGAACTCAGCCTAAACATGCAGGGTTTGTGTGTTAAACATGTGAATGAAACAAAACACAACTCTGGGTATGTATTTGATGAGGAAACAACATTATCAGAAAATAGCTTAATAAGGGCCCTTTAAACATATATTTATTTCTTTGCTATGTCTAAAATAATTTCATTGGTGGTTATTGTTATGGTAATGTATTTGGTTTGTTTTGGTTTGTTACTCTCCACTGACTAGTCAAACAAATACAATAGGCCTTCAGTATGTCAGTTAGTCTTGATGACAATTTATAATAACTAATGCAAATGCTCATAAATAATGTTCTTTCTTTTTTATCAGCATATTGCAGAAGCTGGAGAGAATAAAAAGACTGTGCCAGCTCTGCTCATGTAATGAATGAGACAGCACTTACTGTATTTGCCTGAAGCCGTGCATGATAATGAAATATTGATTTGTGAAACTTTAAATTACAAAAATTCACCCATGATTGGATTTTTACACTCAGATTGTTATTGGTAACATTTCACTGGAGTCAAATAAGTGGTGCAAATGCAGCTGAAAGCACTTCACTCGCCTCCTGCTCCACATGAAGTTCAAATGCAAAGAACTGTTTATGATTGGGGTTCATTTTCTTGTACATTTAGGTGCCATTTTAACTGAAGACAATACAGTATTTTGTGTTGTACTTCAATTCCATATTTAGATCACCATGTCATTTTTTATTGTTTTGAAAATGCTATATTTGCCAAAAACAACATGTTTAATAAGTTTCCATACTCTTAGTCCCCCTTCCTCTTGCTCCCCAAGCTAAATCACACCCCCTTCAGAGCACTATCATAGCATTACAATTGGTGTGCATTCCAGTACTGAAACTACACACGTGGCATCAGGTCTGTGAACTCGAAGTGTATTGTTTTGTATCACGCCTTTGTATATTTGTGGAAAATTAGTGTGCTTGCAGACTGAGCATCAGACAGAGTCACACTGCTAATTATAAGGAGGGTTCATAAGAAGGATTTGAAACAGGCCTGGAAGTGATCACTAGATTTCTCCGACATGCATGGATAACATCGAAAAGCTATTCCAGCATGTTTTAATAAGGAAACAACGTTAAAATGTGATAGAAAATTCCAAAAAGTCAATGATACATAATACATCCTTTTTAATTACAGTATTATGTCAATAGTACTAATTTTTCATCAATCTAAAACCCATGGATAGGTAAAAATTGGAAGACAGTTTGTGATGTCTGTTGAAGCACATTTTTAATATAAATGTGCAAAAAATATAATTTGTGCAAAACACAGTAATGCATAGTTGTGAAAAGCACATGGTCTTAAATTCACTGTGTAATGGTTGGGGTGAAATAAGGCCATTGGATCAGTAATTAATGTTGTCATTTACTTTCAGTTATTCAAGTTTCACACTGACATTCACCTAATCACTAAAATGGATTTTTCTTGCTAAACTTTGCAGAAATGTTTAAGAGCATTGATGAAAACTTTTCTCGGGTAGCTAGCTCAAATA